GTCGGCAAGACAGGTCATTACGCAACAATTGTTTTAGAGGAACGAAAAACAGTTACTGCAGAGTGGTACACTAACAATTGTTTACCACTTTTCTTGGAAAAAGTTCGTGAGAAACGACTTCGCAGTAGGTTCCTCCTTCACCACGACAACACCTCGTCGCACACCGCCAAGTAAACAATCGACTACTTGGCCACGTCAGACATGAAATTACTGGGTCACCCGCCCTATAGCCCCGACCTCGCACATTATTACGATTTTTATTTATTTTCGGAAATAAAAGAAACATTTTGAGGAAAACGTTTTATGGACGCCGAGAAAGCATTGGCTGCGTTTCAAAATGCCGTCGAAGTGACCCCTAAGGACGAGTGAGCAAAGTGCTTTTCTCAGTGGTTCCATCGGATGCAGCGATGTATTGATTGTAATGATATACTTAATAAAACCAATAACTTGTTAGTTTGTACAGTTTTTGATTTTCTAAGAATTTTCAGTGTCACCCACGTAATACTGTCCCATAATATTGACACCTTTATCTTATTTTTATAATTTATAAAAGTAAATAAAGTTGAAGTGTCCGTTTGTAATGTCAAAATAAACAACTTATTACTAAATGCATATGAAAGTCTATACGGCATTTATGACAAAAACGATTTTTAAAATTTTGTGTCAGTTTGTTTCGGCTAATCTGCAAAATGACTGGACCGATTTTGACGGGACGGGATTGACTTGTTTATCCTGTGATATCTCAAAGGTTCATGAACCGATCTGGCTGAAAGTTGGTATTTATAGTTGTATTGAGTCACCAAGTAGTGACAGCTTAAAAAAGCCCCTCTACTCTCTAACCCACTTATCTGCGAACTTTTTGACACACCCTCCTATATCTAGGGTTTTTAATAATGGCAATAATTCTTACATGTTGAGACTGGATGCTGAATATTAAGAAAAAGAAAAAACAACAAAAATGTTTTGAATATCTTTTATTTCTGATCAATAAATACAATTTTTACACATCCGTGTTACAACAATTTCCAAAACAACATTGAAAATCGATCACTATCAAATGTAAGCACACGTGTTAATACTGTATTATTTATTTTCAACTGAATTGCACCTTAACTATGTAAATAAATCACAGTACTTAACATTTTTCCCAAAAATAAAATAGTATACTTAATCAAAAACAAAATACTGGTACATTACTTTACATAAATTAGGCAAATCCAGACCCGGAACAATTTGTTGTAGACTATACAAACACTTGTTCCGAGTGGGATTCCAACTCACGGCCCGCGTCGTTGTAGCCAATTATTTCACACAATTATTCACTGCATTGATGTGCCGTATATTATATTTATTATTACAAAAAGTTTTATTGAATATATTATTATCATCTACAAGCGATAATAAAAAATATTATGCTTTTGTCGTTATTATAAATAAAAAATATGGGGTATTTTACAAATCATAGAAAGTCAGCACCAGAAATATTAAGGATTGAAATGGGACAGATGTTTTTTAATGTAAAAAATATACAAATTGAGCACGAAATTGACACTAAAGTAGACATCTACGTTCATGGCAATGAAGTGACTAAGCACAAGCGCGTACGTGTATGTCGTTGTGATAGTTTGAACGCGGTCGCACATGACCTCCACGGTGGTCCGAAAAATGAATTTTCAGTTTATTTGTTTTTTAAAATTTAAAAACTGGGTGAGACGTGTTCAGCACGCAGAGGCTGTACAGTACGAGGACTTAAGAAAGGCTCATTTTTCCGATCACTTCATAATTAACGTGGTGGACGATAGCGATACTGACGATGATTTCGATTTAAAGTAAAAATTGTTACTATTTTATTAAGTAATATTTCAGTTATTTTTGTTATGTAGCGCTATCTCTTTATTTTATTATAAACGTAAAAATAATAACAAGCTCATAAATATAAATATATTTTTTAAATTTTTCAATACAATTTCTGGTAATTAAGAATATATACGACATATATGACAAGTAAGTGCAAGCGAGAGCGCAATACCATAAGTGCCATTCACACGTTTATGGCCGCAAGTGCCGCGAACGTTAGCGTCTACTTTAAAAATAAATAAGGAACATTACACTTAAACATGAAAAGATATTTATTTATAATTATGTATAATTGTACTAATTAGTTTAATTATTTAAATTTAGATCAATAAAGTTACTATTCAATATTTTTTCTCGTTATATAAAAATTAAGACCTTTATTTATTATAGATAGGTATTTAATACATATTATGTTATATAATTTGACGAATTATAAATATTGAAGTCATACAGGGGAAAAGGCGTAGCGCGGAGGCGCGACGCTTTCGCTCCCAGTATGGACATAGCAATTAACGACATCACATTTATTTTACTTACGCTCCGTAATTTGATTGTACTTGTAAAAAAGTTGGTAAATTAAAGGAATTTAATTTTTAATCAACAGCTTTTTATTGTTGTGTTACAACATATATAATTCGATAAATTTATAAATATTTAGTAACTATTTATCGTTATAGAGTAGTGTTAAAAATAGAGTAGTGTTAAAACAGAGGTAGCAATTTTTGGAATGGAAATTAGTGGAAGGAATGAATTAATACTTATGGCATAACTATAATCATATTAATTGAACCCTTTCAGAAATGAGAGGAGGCAGTGGGACTAGAGGCTGTAATTTTAATGAATTAATAAAATATTTTAAAGGTTATTTTGGTAGCAAATATTAAGAATTTTGCAAAATTGGTTTTTATAAGTCTTAGGAGTTCACAAATTTGTTCTAATCACTTATTATAAGGTTTATTAATTCTTAGTCTTATTTGAGTAGTTAAAGTAAGACTGTACAATAAAGTATTGTTATCATTTGCGAATATATTTTTTAAATCATAATTACTTACATCATGAAAGTAACAATGGCTGAGGCATTATTAATTCCGTACTTTTGTTTATATTTACTTAGTTAATAGTATTTTATTCTAATTATATAAAAATAAATATTTATCTCTTTTAATGATAAATCAAATTAATCGTAAATCGTAAATTTGGATGTAACAATTGGACGAATCAGAATTTTATTATAAGACATTTTAGTAGATGTTTGATGTAACCTCTTCCCTCAAGTTGGATACAACAAACAAAATAAAATTAGTTTGTTCGAAAAGTCCCCAGTGAAGAATGCCGATTCTTTTTTTGGTTCGTAAAAATTTCACTATATTATTTATTTTCTAGGCAGTATTCTAAAAGGTTTTTTTGGTCATTTAAGTTTTAAATTAGTATATTGTTCTGTACGTCAATGATCAGTGACATAATAAGGTGTTTTTTTTTCTTAATTTCTAATATAACAAACCATCAATAGCGGTAATTGTACAATTCTGTTTTACTATCAAATATTAATGATAATTTCGGTAAGAGTTGATAAATATTATGAAAACGTCTCACAATAGCGGCTGTCGCTTGACTCGTACCCTGTCCCATGAATCAGAAAATAAAATCTCGATTGTTAAACTCTTCTGTCTATATCACGGACAAGGAACTTGTTAGGAGGAAAGACCGCTGTCAGCAGAGGGCTAGTGCCCAAATTTGACAATGAATACTAAAAAAAAACACATTCTTTAAAAAAACAAACATCTTTTAAATTGGTGCAATATTGGAGAAGGAAATGGTAGAGAGACCAGACCTCTAATTATTCCTTTTTACTTAAGCTCTCCAGTTGGATCTGCAGTTATCCTTATCGGACGCCGAGCGCTCGCAGAGCGACAGCGATAGTTTCTTCAAATATCTAATTTTCAAGTCTCTCCACTCGCATTTCCTCTTAAGTATCGCAATGTGTGCGACGGGCGCCGCTTATCGCCGCACGCACAGTGTTGTGGTACGAGTGTGTGATCAGCAAAAATAATTAGTGGGCCACAATTTGTAATGAATAAATAAAATATTATGGGATCAATAAAATAAAGGAACGCTGCTTTTTTATCAACTCTCGCCGAACAGACCATGACATTAATTTGTAGAAATTAAAAATGTTATCAGATTAAACAAAGTAGACCGGTTATTTTTCAGTGTTTGTGATCCCAAACTGAAACTTTATTGTGGAATCTTCGACAACCGTATTTTGTTCTGTACATAAATTATATTTAATTTATATTGCCTGAACTTTCTACTGGTATTGGAATGATGAGAATAAGTTAATGGGAATTATTAAAATAATATTGTTCATACTCAGTTCGTTTTTTAAAATACTTAGGCATAATTATAATTCAGTTATGGTAAATTTTTACAAGGGTATTTAGCAGTTCTGATATTAGAATCAAAATTGACAACAATGAAAATCGTATAGGATATCTACTTGTCACTACAAGCAAGGTGACAACAAGTAAGGCCACATTTACAAAAACATACAAACACTCACGCATGTCACCGAGAGGGGTAGGCAGAGACTACGACTTCCATTTGGTGCGATCCTGACACATCTCTCTCGCTTCCTTTACATCCTTATATTTACGCATACACGCTCGTCGGTTAAGAGTACTCCTAATCTGGCCCATTTTCAATGTATCGCCGATTTGGTCGATAAATCTTCATCAAGGGCGTCCCTTCCCGACTTTGCCGTTTTTATTTTTATATATACAAAGATATTTTATTTTTATTAGCAACATTCAAACTTAATAAATAATAGAAATATTTAATACACAACTTTAATACAATATAAAATTCTCTTTTCGTGGGTATTATTCACTTTCTTCTCAGTTTACTATAAAATATGTAGAAAACACCCTGTCTCATATCTTTTTATAATATGCAATATTTTCAACAGACATCTATAATAGTATTAAATTTGTCGGTTTGTATAATTCTAGTAGGGTAGTGCCAATAGTTTTCTAAATAAAAGGGTCTCACCTGGTGGGTTATTTCATTATCTACAACAACAACAAGAAAATATGTATCAAAAGAAAAAACATTGTAAAGTTTATTGTTACTGATTATTTATATTCTCATGTCCACAACGCTGTGGGCATCATACCCTCCATGGAGGTATTCCTCGGGGTTAGCACTTCGTTGCACAGGAAATCCAGCGGCAAATCGACTAAATACCCTTGAATAAGGTCTATTTTTCTGTTTGCTTGAACAGGATCTTTGCGCCAAAGAGTTTCGCTGTGTTCCTCTTGATAACGTTTCAGTTCGGCGAAAGAGTGCACCGCGTCCGTTGGTATTGTGTGAAATACCTGAAATATAATGTTCGCGACAACAAAAAGTGATTAAAAACAATATTAAAATTATAATAAGAAAAAGTATTAGTGACAAACCTAAGTGAAAGGTGCAATAATGATATTTTACAAAATTGTTTACAAACCTAAGTGTTATAGCATAGAGCGTCGTTTAAATAATAGTTAGGACAACAACCCGTATTGTACAACACAAAGCCGGCCAATCAGAGCGCGGCGAGCTATAGAACAATCGGGCATTATATGACGTTAAGACTTAAGACCCGAAAATAATGGAAATAATTTTATGCTCTAAAATTATTGTAAAAAGAAATTAATTAGATTAAGTTTTATAGATTAAGGAAATAAAATAATGTATCGCGTGGTGTACCTTATTTCCCACCTATAGTAAAATTAATTAATCGATGTACAGAAATATTGTGAAAATTTGGGATGCTTTTATTAATAACTTTTTACATTATTAATATATTAAATAACCTTTCTTAATATATTATATTTCATATATAATCATTAGAACATCATATATTATACACATTATATATATGATTTTCTCACATATAGTTGTAGCACGAATGGGTCGGCTCGACCAGGTAAGGACCATACCATGCTCTCACAGAATACCAGCGTAAAATAGCAGGTGTTTCGTATGGTGAGTGTAGAGAACCGGAGACGCTTTTTACTGGAAAAGAGGCATTCCATCTTAGTCCTCACGGATAACAACGCATCTGCATTTTGATTCGCAAACGAGGATGGACGTAGATGTCGTCTATGGGCCACAGCGGCCACTTACCATCAGGTCGACTGTGTGCTCGTTTGTCACCCTATCCTATAAAAGAAATATAATGCTCTAATAGATGACTAAATTACCCATCTAACCATATTTTATTATTCATTAGCGTAAGAATTAATCGTGTATAGCAAAATTGTAAAATATGATAATTGTATAGTGAAAATAGTAAGCAATAAAGAGGCAAACTCTTTAAAGTAAAGCTCCGGTCTACCTTAGCGCCTCGGGGTCTGGTAACATTGTAGTACAACATAGTAGTAGATAATAGGAGATAGTAGAACATAGTAGTGGGAGAAAGGTACTACCGAACAAATTGAAGAAATAGTCAACTGTAGAAATAATCTGAAGAATATAGTGAACAACCAACGGTGAACAACTTAGGGAACAACCGATAGTGAACAGTAGTTGACCAACCTTAGTCAACAACCATAGAAGACAACCGATTGTCAAAAGATACCCAGATAGATTTATTGTATAAAGCAGACCAACAATACTAACCTCCTCGTAGATTTGGGTGTTCTGCGTGGATGTGGCCTTCCACACATCTCTATAGAACTGTTCACTGCAAGGATCATCCAAAATCAAGCCGTAACGAGCGGGATCGGTGTCCATGTAGCCCAGGTGTTCGCGGAACAGTCGCTTACGAAGCGTCCCCGCAAACCGACCGCAAGGGAACGCCTGCCCGTTCAAAGTACCGTCGTCAAACTGCTCGTCCTGGGTACGAATGAAATTAGTTACAATCTTTATTTTTCGACATGTGAAATTACATTTTGTTATTTGCTATACTGTCGGACTGTAGCTATATGTTGACTTTTTTTTAAGATGGAGTAAAGATCAATATTTTTGTAGAACACAGTTACAGTATTTATGTATCACTAACCATTACGCCAACGAACGCGGATAAAGCAGTTCGGGAGCGCTTTTCCTCCCGACTTGCTTAACAATATTTAAGGCTAGCTGAGAGGTGCAGTTTAATACTATACTCAACCAAATTTAAGAGATACGTTTTGACGTTTCACATTAACCATTCCGCAATAACTTTGTACAAGCATACTCACAAGATTTAAAATAACCTTTTACGTAAATCCAAAGAATTATGAAGTTATCTATATTTCATTACAACATTCATTTACATTCATTACAACATATCTTTATCACTAATTCAAGTTCGAATCTTTCAGAAAAAGAAAAATATAGAAAAATTAAGAGCGTAGTCGGTCTGCGCGGGAATTGAGAAATAGGTATTTGAATAAACTATTGCCGTCGCGCTATATATGGTCTCCCCCCATAGAGTGTGATAGGGGCAACTGCAGATCAGAACGATTTTACCTACAAAAACCATGACAGATCGATGTTTCGTATTCCCCTGTTGCCTCCTCGGAAACTAAGCCGATTAAATTATTTTTGGTATCAAAATTTAAAGGAAGAATAGATCTATGCTCCTATTACTTGATTTTATGTTAAAAACTTTTCAAATTTCTTTGATAGTCATCTGATTACGGAGGTAAAAACGGGGCATTTTTTTAGGTTTTTGGAAAGTCATATTTATTTTTGTAATAATTTATTGGAATAAAATGATTGACAGGGGCATGCCTTCAATAGACCTAGATTTTTATAAACAAAAACGATTACTCTAGAGGCATTATCCAAGTAGAGAATAGGGGAATACATTTGTATGGAAAAAATGCAGCCCGTCTACGCTCTTAACCAGAGTCAACTTTTTTGTCCGACGTTGTTTCAATGATATATCACTATGTATCTTACCGTAGTGTTTGAATTATTAAAATTCATTGTTATGCGAATAATCGGTAAAAATATTCAAATAATCGGTAAAAATATTCAATTAATCGAATTTTGAAATGATTTAATTTATTATTTGTTTATTTAAATTTTATTTTTAGAATTGTTTAAATTATATGAATCACGAATTAAACAAGTTTATTTATTTTATAACTTCCTACTTTGCCAGTGTAAATTTGTATAGGCAAAGATATATAATAAAATAATATTCCTTTCACAACCGGATAAGAAAAGGCGTGAGGGGGGTCTACTCTACGTCAGAAGGGGCCGTGACGGAAAAATCTTACACTTTTTCTCCGTACTTATACGTACCGTCCGATAAGGAACTTCGTTCCAAAAGAAAAAAAGAACATACAGTCTAATTGAGTACCATCTCATTTTTGAAGTCGGTAGAAAAGAGTGGTTTACAATCCTTTTACAAAATATTCCTGCGCATATCACAAGACTACCACCATACCACTGCCATTATAATGCTATTGAATTGATTTTGGCCCAAATCAAAGGCTAGTTCTTATATGAAATGCTCTTAATGCAAACATATTATTAACTATACATAAAATATACATAAACACACACGAGATGGAAATATCTTATGCTTTGTAATGAAAATGGAAGGTTTGCTGAATGAAGGATATACCCATGTCACAAAGAACAATTGGGCAAAAGTGGTGGAGAAAACAAAGAGAATTATTATGGATGACTTTGAAAGAACATTAATTTTGATACATTATTGAAAATCCAATAATAATTAATCTAAATAACGACAGCTCATAGTTGTAGTGAAAGTGACTGAATTAATCTAATTTCAAATTTATACAATTTTGCCTCAAGATATAAGCAGTAATAATAAATAGGAAGAAACTGATAATTCTTGTGTATTAAATTATCCGTTTCTAATTTATTCTGGTATTAATCGAAGCAAAACTGTAAATGATTACCAACTTTAAAGAATTGATATCGATTTTTCTAAAGAATCGAATATTGTACGTAATGATTTTTTGGTTGCATGCCTAGTCCAATAAGTCGGACACCTGTCAAGACGTATTTCTTAGATTTGGTTGAGTATAGATAGCTCATGAATCTGGCTATCATATACAAAAATTTTAAATTGTGCGGGTAGTTTCAGTTAATTGTATGAAGCAATATCACCGACAGATAATGTTGATTATTTTATTACCACGTTTTTATTAAGTCACTTTCTTGTTTGTCTCTCTGTCTGTCCGACGTTCCGGATGGCATTTAGTTAATTGATTTTAAACTAAATTCCCGATAAGGTGAAATCTTTAAATTTTGAATAAAGATTAAATTCGGATGACAATGCAAGAATACGATAAAAACGTGGTATATTTTTCATTTTTAATACATAATTAAAAAACATCACTTGTTGATTCTTAACCGAGGACACATGTAGATGTCTATGAGCAGCAGCATCCACTTACCATCAGATAGATGGACTATGTCTTAGCTTGCCGCTTTTATTTTTTTTTAAGTCATGCAATTCCTGTACACATTTATATAACAGTATTAAGTAATACTTTTTATGGAATTATTAATTGAAATAATTATCAAATAAAGTGTATTCACCTATGACAATCGTACAACTTATTTAACAAACCTGGATTAGAACAGCGATTTCGGAGTCCCTCTTCCCGATCATAGACCTGTCGTTGATGTTGGCACTGCCGCATATCACCGTTTTGTCATCAGCGATCAACAACTTCGAATGGACGTAAATAAGTTCGGTGATCGGTTCGCCGTCGAGTTGCGAGTGTGTACGAAGCCCGTGGAACGTTATATACTCCGACGGGTCTGAAATACCCGCTTCGTATAAACGCGTTAGTATAGCTTCACGGCTCCTGAAAAGTTACAATCGCTTTATAAAACAAAAGCTTTAATAACATTTTTTTTTAAATAAATTATCAGATTTTAGTTCTGATCATTGAGAGCACCCATTACTCTCATTTCGAGTGATTTTTTTTTAAGAACATCCATTACGTTCCGTGGGCATCGTAAGAGGCGACAATAGAACATTCCAGAAAGATCCCATAGTTCTTTGACAAACAGTGATATAACCATGTCGTTTACGCCAGATAAAAAATTAAATGCTGGTGGAGCGGCCCATGTCCAGCGGTGGATTGTTATACGTGGTAGAGCCACGCTGCAGCTATATTATAGTTGTAGAATGAATGGGTCGGCTCGACCGGAGTAGGACCACGCTCTCACAGAACACCAGCGTAAAATAGCAGATTAATGCTGCTGTGTTTCATATTTTAAGTGTAGATAACCGAAAACCTTTTTTACTGGAAAAGAGGCATTCCATCTTAATCCTCAGGGTTGTCTGCATTTTGATTCTTAATTGAAGATAAATGTGGACTGTATGCTCGTTTGTCATCTTATTTCTATATAAAAAAAATTGAAGCATACCATTTTTGCATTTTAGCCGCATTTACATGTCATTACGAATCGTTTATCACGCAGTATTGACGACATCCAGTCTCCCAAAAAAGACGGTTTTCGAAATGAAATAACTTTAGAACCACATATTACTTACTTTTCGGCAAATTATGACGCACAACAAAGTGTGACAAACGACCATATCGTTTGTCAGCCTTATTTAAAAAAAAACGAAAACAAAAAAGGAAGAAAGCAACTGCAAGACTGAACAAATGTCATCTACCGAGTTTAATAAAATGTGGAACTGCATTTCACACGTTCGGCTAAACTCGGCTCTTTTGAATGTACAAGAATAAATGTTTAAGCTAATATGTTATACAATCATTTTGGCAGAACCGCTGGAGGACCTTAGCACTTAAGATGAACATGGACAAGGTAAAGGGCGCGGGCGGTACCTGCAGATGCTCTGGTAGTTCCAGTGCGTGACGGCGTGCAGCGAGGTGCCCGAGGGCGCGCCCACCTCGCCCTCGAAGCCGGGCAGCAGCGGCATCACCACGAACACACGCAGCCGCTGCCCGCCGCGGTGCGCGCGCATGATGCGGTTGAACAACGCCTCCCCTATCTGACAACCAACTGTCACCATTATAACCTATACACACTTATGGAAACATGAACTTGTTAAAAAATTATTTGTAATGAAATAAAATTACTAATCCCAGCACCACTACTCCCAACAACACTAGGAAAGACACACAACCGTCGATAATGCGACACGTATTTCGCCTTATATTTTCTCTATAACATATACATTGTTAGGGATCGCAGTGGACTGTATTATTGAGTACGCTAGGGACAACTGCTTAAAGAAATGATGGTACTGTCGAACTATACTGTATTCAAACTATTTACAGTGTGGCACTATTAATTACACTATTATACAGAGGGGAGTCTTCTTAATAGAGTCTTCTTGAGTCTTGATTTTCTTGATTTCTCTTGCTGTTTTCTTCTCTTCGAGTGCCGCTTCCGAAATGAACAGCTCACCGTCCGAGACACCCTTCTTATATCTCGCCGGAGAGCGTCTCGGGTCGTGCGTAGCGTCGTCCGCGATGCCGCGCGCTCATTGGTCGGCGACATCGCGTGATCTGCTGCCGGTGTGCGGGGTGCGCGGGGCGCACCGGGGTGTGAAGGGGCGACGGGGCGGCGGCCTCCTCGCTGTCCGCTACATCCTCCCCCCGGCGTAGCCTGCGAGCCTAAGCTTCTTTCGGGAGGACGGCGATCTTCCTGACGGGCCGCCGCAGCACTCCTCCCTTGGTCCGGACCTCGACGTTTCGCACCACGACGTCTGGTCCAGGAAACGTCTTCGTTACGATTCCCCGCGGCCACACATTCCTGGGTAGGTTGCCGTCCGCAACCACGACGAGGTCCTCTTCCTGTATTTGGCGCTGCTGAGCATCTCTGGAGTCCCCTCGCGCGACCAGCGTCGGCAGGTACTCCTTCACCCAGCGCCTCCAGTATTCGTCGGCGAGTCCTTGCGCCGCTCTCCACGCCCGACGATCCATAGGTGTGCACGGCGCGGTGACTGGCAGGCCCGATGGTCCCAACAGTAGGAAGTGGTTGGGTGTCAGTGCCTCTTCATCATCGATGTCGACCGGTACGTGCGTCAACGGTCGAGAATTTACAGTATTTTCGGCTTCAGTTAGAAGCGTTGCCAGCGTTTCTTCTCGTGGGCTCTTCTGATGGAGAGTGGCTTCGAGCGCGGTCTTCACTGAGCGCACGAGACGCTCCCATGCGCCTCCCTGGTTAGGCGCGCCCGGTGCGATGAACTTCCAATCGACGCGCCGAGTCAGCGCGTAATCCTTCAACTGTGGCGCCCACTCTTCCATTGCCCGTCGTAATTCTGTGTTTGCCCCATGAAAATTAGTCCCATTATCCGAATAAATAACCCGTGGCCACCCACGCCTAGCCGCCATGCGCCGCAATGCCGATATCGCCGAGTCCGCGGTCAGAGAATAGACTATCTCTAGATGTACTGCGCGCGTCGTTAGGCACGTGAACAGTGCCACCCACAGTTTTTCGTGCCGTCGTCCTATCGTAACCGTCAGAGGCCCGAAATAATCAATCCCGGTGTTCGTAAATGGTCGCGCAAACGCCCCTAACCGTTCAGGTGGTAGGTCTCCTGTAACCGCAGGTCGTGGTGTCGCCTTCCGTATTCTGCATCGTAGGCATCTCCGCTCCGCTTCCCGTACTGTAGGTCGTAATCGGAGGATATGATACCTAGTGCGCAGGTCGTTCACCACCCTCTCCCTATTGGCGTGGCTTGCTTCCTGATGCGCCTTCTCCACAAGCAGCTTCACAAATTGGTGACGTCCATTCAGGATAATGGGTCTCTTCATTTGACCGTCCACGTCGGCTGCGTCGATCCTTCCCCTGGCTCGTAGCACTCCATCCTCCAATATGGGGTCGAGCTTCCTTAGTGCGCTGCCGGTGGTCAAATTCCTTCCCCGCTGAAGACGGCTGATGTCTTCAGCGAAGCTTTCCTGCTGGCTGCGTTGTATCCACATCCGTTCTGCTCTCTGGATGTGCTGTAAGGTCAGTCCTCGTGCTCTTCCTCGTGCCGCATCGAGGAATTGTAGTACTCTTGCTGTGGCCCTGATTAACTTCTCGTAGGCAGAGAATCTCTCTATGTCTGGCAGGTGTGGAGCTTCCTGCGTGTCGCTCTGGTGCGCCACGATTTCCTCCAACTCTTCATCATCCCCCGCCTTCTCTTCCTGTCGGTGACGCCATCTGTCTTCATGCTCGTAGAGGAAGGGTGGTCCTGTAAACCACTTGTCGCTCTCTTCCTTGGTTGTGAAATTCATCCGCGTTGCCTGATCCGCTACGTTTTCCGCAGTCGGTATCCACCTCCATTGCTCGGGTGATGTCTTCTTAGCTATCTCCCCTAACCGGTGAGCAACGTACGGAGTGTAACGCGCCGTATCGTTTTGTATCCAGTGGAGCGCCGTAGTAGAGTCCGTCCAATATACGACCCTATCCGCTACCACTCTGTGTTCGTCCTGCATGAATTCCGCGAGTCACGCGCCTATTAAGTTCGCCTGCAACTCTAATCGCGGTATACTTTGCGCTTTAATTGGAGCGACTTTCGCCTTAGCCGCCACTAATCGCACCCTAATCGTTCCGTCGCGATATCGTATACGCCAATACGCCGCGGATGCGTACGCACGTTCGCTCGCATCATTGAAGACGTGAAGTTGACGCTCTACAACTCCCCCCGTAGGAGCATAGCACCTTGGCAGTCGTAGTCGTGATACCTCCTCGACGACTCGCAGCCATCTCTGGAATTCCTCTGCTGCCTCCTCGGGTAGTTCGTCGTCCCATCCGACCTTCTTCATGCGCCATAGGCCTTGTAGCAGGATCTTGGCGGTGATGGTGAGGTAACTTAGCAGTCCAAGCGGATCAAAAACGGACATGACCGCGCTTAATGCTTCCCTCTTGGTCGGTGGTCGCTGTAGCGCCTTTACTTCTTGCGGCACCCTATTCATTGACGTGTTGAATGTTAGGGCGTCTTCATCAGCCATCCATAATAACCCTAAGGTTCTGCCTGGGCTGTCTTGTCTTAAGCCTACTTCTTTAGGCTTACGCGCCAGTAAGTCCTCCGGCTTGTCTTCTAACAGGGCTGCGTGGTTGGAGTTCCATCCTGCCAAGGTGAAACCGGCCTGCTGGTGCACTTCCGAAACCTGCTTTGCCGTATTCATCGCTTCCTCTACCGTGGCATAACTGTCTAAATAGTCATCCATATAATGGCTACGTACGATAGCGCTAAGTGCCAACGGGTGTGTCTCTGCGTGTACGCGCGCGTTATGATCCCTAACACTGTGTGCGAGAAACGGCGAGCTCCTCGCACCGAAAATCATTGATGTCATAACGTACTCCCGCGGTGGGCTGTGTCGCTCGTCTCCTCGCCAAAGAAACAACTGCGCGGGCTGGTCGCGACGGTCGATCTTTACACGCAAGAACATCTCCCTAATATCCGCGGACACCGCTATCTCGTTTTCGCTAAATCGAAACAGTATGCCCGGTAGGTTCCGTAATAAGTCGGGGCCGTCGAGTAAATAATCGTTAAGGCATCTGCCGGATGCACCCGCTGCCGCGTCGAACACTAATCTCGTCTTCCCCGGCTTGTTCGGATTCCGTACTGCGAAGTGTGGCAGGTACCAGCTCTTGGGATCCTCTCGCTCTGTCCCTTCGGCTTCCCTTGCGTATCCCTTCGCCAGGAGGTTGTCTATCTGGGCTTTGTAGGCGTCACGAAACTCCGGCGACTGGTCCATCTTCCTCTCGATCGTCCGTAGTCTTCGCGCTGCCATCTCGTAGCTGGGTGGCATCCGCACGTTGTCGTCCTTCTATGGCAGTCCAACTTGGTATTGCTCGCCGACCTTCTTGACGGTGCGCTGGAATATGTCGACAGCGCGCTCCTCATCCCGTCGCGGCCTACTCTTCAGCGAGAGTACCTATAGAGTCTATTTCGTACTGCCGTTTGAGGAGTTCCGTTAGCTCCTCGTCCCGACTGGCAAACGTTCGGATGTCCCTATCTGACCGTCCGCTAGCGCTCTCTACGTGTAATACGGTCTCGCCGTCTGCCCTACACGTTAACCGCGGCACGGTTCCCTGAATTACCCATCCTAATAACGTTCGTGCAGCTATAGGCTGCCTTCGACGTCCTATCCTTAAAGCACGGGTAATTATCAAATGCCAATTGTCGGCGCCTAATAGCAGTCTTGGTTTCGCGTCGTCGTAACACACCGAACTCGGTAAGTCACGTAAGTGCTTTAATCGTAAGCACTCCCTACTCACGGACTGCGAGCCTATCTTTAAGTCGGTTATTGTTCGCGCGTTTATGTTAAACATCTCGCTGCGCGTCTTGCCACGTATCCCTATATTGACTAATCTACTATTAGCCTCGCGTTGACTGTTCCCTACGCCTTTAATGTTGAGCGGCTTTATCGGTCCTTCCGCTCCTAACTCGCGAGCTAAGTCGTCGTCTTCGTCAATTAGCGCGTACGTGTTCACTTCCTTTCCGCGTGGTCCGCGCACGGTTATCGGACACACTTTTAACAATACGGACGCACTACTGCTAACACTCGACGCGACGAGCACGGTTTCGTCCGGTTTAACCGACGCTGCAGGCGTACGGGCCTTACGGGTGTGAAGAAGAGCGTGGTGGGGGGCGTTACAACCGTCGACGCCGCACTTCCTGGCTTTGCAGCGTATACGTCGGTGCTTGCTGCTCAAGCACTTGAAACATACCCCATCTTCCCTAACCCACTTCCACCGGTCGTCCGAGCCCATTTGCTCTAACTTCTTACACTTGACGATAGGGTGTTCACCCCCGCAACACATACATAAGGCACTACCGGTGTCCTCCTGGGCGGTGAACGTCTTTACGTCGCGGGCCCTATCTTCTACGCGGCGTGTTAACACTATTCTTTTCGACGGCGGCGTTTCTCGTCTTACGGGCGATTCCTTATTCGACGCTACGGACGTATAGGCATGACTTAACGCACGGTCAGCCTCTCTCATCATGAACCGGGATAACGTAACGATGTCCGGTTCGTCCGCACTTCCGTA